GATTCGGCAGGACTTTCTTAAAGCAAAACAAGCAGCTTGACAGCTTCAAAATAAGTCAAAACACCATAAACAGAAGCAGACAAAAACACAGAAGGCTTTAAAACAGCCTAACTCAGAAGTCGCACCTGCAGAGGTAGAATCTCTGGTGGTTGAGGTAGTTTCTCGTGTTTCGCGCTCTCAGCGCAAAATTCGCCTACCACAACAGTTTATGGAGTAAATTAAATAGCGCATTCGATTTGTCTAGTTCTCTACTATCTATCTATCTAATTATCTAGTTTATTGAGCAGTTCGTTGTTGAATTATAGCCTTATGAAGCTGTGGAGATGAAACGAGTCCCACCGTGCACGGAGGTGGATCGTGCACGGAGTGGTGCGGACTTCTACCTAATCGGAGGATCCCGCTCCTCCGACCGTTAGCCTCGCGCGCCTGCTAGCGATGATCTTCCACCGCCCAATGGGTAGAGTCCGGGGCTCTTCTGGTCTCACCGGAACCATATGAATCATTACGGACTATAAATATGAGGTATCGCATCTTCGGATCTCTATAGCCAGCGAGTCTTGATCACAGCCTTCCAACATGCTCACAGTGCACCATCTCCAGCGCGGCCAAAGCGAGCGTATTGTCTGGCTATGCGAGGAACTTGGCATACCGTACGAACTCAAACTCTACAAGCGCGATCCCATCTTCTCACCGCCAGACCTCAAAGCTTTGACCCGACTCGGCTCTGCACCCGTTATCACGGACACCACTTTCAATGCGTCGAAGCCACTAACACTCTCAGAGAGTGGTGCAGTGGCCGAGTACGTCATATATAAACACGGCAACGGACGACTTACATATGCACCTTCTCATAAAGACTATGCTGAATACCTATACTGGTTCCACTTGTCAAACAGCAATTTACAGCCGGTTATTATGAGAAGCATGCAATCAAGCCAGTTAAGACTTGGCCCGGACAGTGCTGTACAGAAGCAAGCGGACGGACGCCTAAATCTAATCTTGGACGTGTATAATGATCGACTTAGAGAGGTGCCTTGGTTGGCTGGTGAAGAGTTCACAGCAGCAGACATCATGACCGTCTTCTCTCTGACCACCATGCGCCTGTTCTTTTCGTTGGACCTCACAGGTTATGATGGGATTTTGGGATGGCTACAGCGAGTTGGAGAGCGGCCAGCATACCGAGCTGCGATGGAGAAGGGAGACCCGGGGTTCGCGCCTGTGTTAGGTGCTAAAGCACCTGAATCGTTTATCAACTCTTTGAGAAATGTCTGATTAATTCAGCACAACCAATAATACTACTTCATAGAGCAACTTCCCCACTCAATGAGAATCATTCATAGCCCTTATCTTCAGATTAACTTGTACAGATTTAATTAAACATGCTATTTGTATTGCTTCTCGCATGCCGACTTAAAGAACATGTCATTTGTAGAGAAAAATGTCTCATTCAATAACAATGAGATCATTAGAGGGTAAAGGCATCGGGCGGAACGACTATAAAGTATACTGTCAATCACCAGAGTGTTGAGGAATAGGTGAGGAGAGACACGCAGAGACATTGTTCTGTTCATCAGACCTCTCGACAGCTGGCAGTATAATGCTGCGTCTTGTTCCCTGGATCACTGCATTACCACCGAATAATATGGCGTTTCTGAGCTTTCCTAAGGCTCCCTGCACTGGAACTGGCTAGTTGCGGTACGCTACGGCTGAAAAATGATTGTTATCTATCAAGCTGCTTGTGCCTGTAGGGCTTGTCTAGGATAGAGCGGTGTGTACACTAGTCTCCAGGATCGGACCTCGATAATGGAATCTTCCCCAGATAGAATAGTACACAGCACTGAATATAAGTACCGCTACTACGATAACGCAACTCCAATTCATGTCCGCCAGGTCCGGTTTTACAGTAGCCGGCCAGAAACTAAAGAAGACAATGACCACGCAGTAGGCACAAGCAAGCAGATTGTTGCAAATTCCGAGCATACCTGACACACGCCACGGGCCCCATATCAGTCGCTCCTCTCTGGCAATGTAGCTAGTCTGCTCTTCCGACTCTAGTGCTTGTTTCGTCACAATGACACCCTTCTGACAACGACGCCACAAAAGTAGAGCACAGCTCAGGAAGTATGTAAAGTAGAAACCGAAGATTGTAATAGATAGGATGATGTTCAATGCTAGGGTCGAGCCGAAGTTTATGAGCAGAATCAGTGCGCCTATTACCGTTGTCACGAGGACTGTGTTGATTGGGACTTGGCGTTGAGGGTCGACCTATACCCCATTAGATTCGATTCTACAGGTTGAGTAGGGTTTGTTTACTCGTCCAAGAAAATTCGAAAATGGCAGAGCCTTATCCCTAGCAAAGGACCACACCATCCTTGAAGATGTTGCTACGAGACCCACACAACCGAAGAAGAGGGTCAAGACAATAAGAGAGCTAAGGACGGTGGTTGCGGTGGTCGAATTGGTCGCTTGGTAGATCACTTCGATGAAGGGATAGCTAGTTGGGGTATTCGTGATAGCATCCAGGTCGCCAAAGCTGAATATCATGACAACCATTATTCCGAACCCCATTGCGCCATTGAGTAGTATGCCTCCAACGATTGTCCTCGGAATGACGATGGCAGCGTTCGAGACCTCTTCGGCCATCTACCACTTCGATTAGTCTGCGCGCTTGAGGCGATATTTTGACCCACGTGAACTGCAGCATCGGCACCTTTTGGCACGTCAGTGATATGGAGGATCATTATTCTGAAGTGGCTTTACTTACCAGCAAAAGCGAAAACGTTCCCGGTAAGGCCCACCATAAACGATGTACCCTGAGACGGCCAGTTTCCTCCATTGGTCCAGTTGATAAAGACATCTTTCGCCGAAGAATGCGGACCCATGTGCGCGACGACAATCAGAATGGCGAAGAAACCAAGGATATGGATCGCCAAGGTACAGCTTTCAACGCTCGGAAGATAGCTGCTCACGACAGTGTTAATGAAAACAGCAACAACAATGACTCCGTATCCGATCAAGGTAGCCTGCCATTGATGGAAGGTCTGATCTGGATGATTCAGGATCAGGAGACCTTTGATAATTCCGCCTGCCAGAAATCCAGCGCTCGTGATCGTTGTCTGCCAAGCAAAGGCGGTCATCCAACCTACGGGATTCAGCAAGATTCTCCAGGAAACGTTTCTCCCTTACCCGTAAGATAGCTTAGAATTTTGCGACATGAAGGTGGTGCCAGCATCCACACCCAGTAGTATTGTCCAGACGCAATTGGAGCCCTGGACTGGATGAGTGTATGCTCCACTCCAGCATGTAGAGTGTCGACGAACATGGACGCAAGCTCACAAATGGTTATGAAGACAGATAACGTTCCAAACCAAGCCACTATGTAGCTCCAGAACAGCCCGGCTGGTCCGCCACTGCATAATAGTGAGAGAGTCCCAGAGTGAAACTCGGAGGAGCTCAACTTACTTCTCGAGTCCGGTCGTAAAAAGCCTACGGATCTCGTTAAATTGCACCGTATGCCCACGAATCGGGCTTACTCTAGTACAGCTTCCCACGTGACCAGTACAGTGCAACTGAGAGCTAGAATTGCCAAGAACCCGAAATTGCGCTATTCGTAGAGACATCTTAGACATTCAATGTGCGAACTTTTAAAGTCTTGGCATACCTTAAGCACTTGCTTCTTGCCTAGCCTTGCTAAGGTCTGGCTGTCACTGACACGCGATGCATGGGCCCTTTCGAGCTCCTCAACGTGGTTGCCATTCTGCGTTTTAGCAGGAATACTCGTGAACTCCGTGACATGTTTCTGGTTCATCTTATAAATTACAAAATAAAAATCGGGTTAAGGTCAAGTTTCTAGGCTGCGGAATTAGATTAGAGGAGGGAGTAAGCCGCGAAAGCATGAGTTAAAAGGAGGCGTATATATATCATACTACCGTCGAGCACAAAAGCATCTCTGCCCCCCGAACAGGTTTTCAAAAATTTCGCGCCAATTAGAGTAGCCCAGGTGGCGCATAAACTTTTGTAAGCATGCGGCATATTTAGCTCAAATTTAAAATGATGATGCGATACAGCGGGTCTCAAAGTGGTGGGAATCGGCCCGAGCACCTAAGGTACTTTGACTATTACAGCACCAAATTTGGTGCACAATTTTCGTACAACTTCTTGTAGAGAGATGGTTGTGACTTGTGATGGAAAATGTTCGGGTGAATGAGCTATCAGATTTATCCTTTTAAAAAAAACAAATCCTATTTGGGTCCAACTCTGCACACATGGAGTAAGAGTATGTACTGATCGTCTTGTCTGATCTTTCCTGATTTGTTCTTTCACCTATTTAATGATTTGAGTAGCTCCAGTGTGTGAAAGAAATGGAAAAAAATTCTGTGTTTTAAGAGAGGGAAAAAAAAGTGCAACAGCCGTGAATCGAACACGGGGCTCGTCGATGGCAACGACGACTATGTTGGTCAATTCATTTAATTCTTTTACTGACTTTGACTCAACTTACATTTTACCACTAAACCACTATTGCGATTCGATATCATGAAGTGCAGTATAACGTACATATCTCAAACAAACTTAATCGCTTCCATATTGTCGTCGGTATTGACTGATTTTATTATAGACAGTGTCTGTATTGAGCAAGATCATGTACAGGCTATACAACATACATGCTCCTGCCTGTGTTTCCTTCGTGCTAATCGCAATTGCGAGCTAGTTCTTTAAGCTATCATGTATGGGTCAGGGTGTACACAGCGAACAGACAGATGCATTCATATGGACATTAGTTTGGTGATCGCTAAAATACTACTCACCACTCTACTTCACTATACTAACATAATTACCCACAATCCAATGTTTTAGTTGAAATACAATAAAAGAACTCGTATAATCGTATTGCTAAGTCGTCGGGATGTGCCTGATATAGTGGAGAATATTCACGAACAAAGTAACCTCATATAAAATCCATTTCTGCTTTTGGGCGTGAGTTATGGAGGGGCGAAACGAGAGCGCCAAGTCAGCAACCTAAGTCATTACTGAGCCACACTGAGCCATACTGAGCGAGTTTGAGCACACCCTGAGCTACTATGAGTTAGGATAAGCGCAGCTTAAGCTAACGTAATTTTACTTCAATGGTGCCTAAATTCAGGACCCTCTTTATCCTAATCAAACTTAAAGGAGCCCAGGTTGTGGCCTTTTAAACGCGGTGATACTTGCCTTTAACTATTTGACGGCAAGCTTATAAAGGATTTATGACGAGGGTCTGTGTATTTGCTATAAGCCTTAGTTGCTCTTGCCTTTGTGGCATGCAGGTCATGTAACAGGACTCCTTCATTGCTGCAGTGATTTTACCGAGCATCACCTTAAATGAGATCGTCAAACAAGCGGAAAATAGCCTGAGAGCACTTATTAATTTTGGAATTTGGATCGAAGTCCTCTCCAACATGCTCACTGAGCAAGGTAGTCATCTCCGGTTCGCGCAAAAAGTCTGCGACAGTTCGTTGCAGAAACTCCACCTTGCTACCGTGGTAAGCTTGCTTGAACGCATTGGAGATTATAGAAACAGAGAGCGAGCAGTCAATAGTTTCGAGCAGATCCTGACAGCGGGCATTGACCCTCTTCTTGGTCTGTTCGAGACTGATGAGAAAAGTGTTGAGATCTGACACCGAAAAGATAGCCTTGCATCTCGCTTCGTACGCATCGATGTCTGGTTCTAAAAGTGCTTGATAGAGCATGATCGAAAGCGGTTCAACGGCCGCAACTGATGTCTGTAGAAGCTCTGACGTCTCTTGCAGGTAAACCTTCTCGATGTTCTTAAACATGTGCATAAACTACGGTCCAAGCTCCGGCGGAAACGTTTTCAGTCGCATGCGAAGGGTATTGATTGAGTCGCCATTGGTCAGCCCACGCATCAAGGACCTAGTGACAAGAAAGACCCAGACAAATACGCCTTGTGCCTTGTCGACAATCTCAGTGATCAGTGAATCGCATTCAGGGTCCGATCGTTGAAGCTTTGGATATCCTGGGCAGCCGGAGATAGTATGGCTCATGAAGTGGAGGATATCCTTGCGATTGTGTTTTTCCAGTCGAATTGTTCTTCGTCAATCTTGTCCGAATACTTCTTCAAAGCAATTCCAAGGCCGGCTGGCGAGACACATCTTGATACTATGGTTCCTGACATTCAGAAGGACAGCAATAAGATCGAAGAGGTCTTCACCACATTCATCTAGACCGTCTATGAAGAGACAGAACGCCGTTTTGGGAAAGTCCAGCGCAACGAATCGTCGTAAAAGCTGGAGTAAGTCCGTGCGTGGCCAGTCCGTGCTGGTATCGTCGACTATTGATGCGCCTCTACATCTTTCGGGTAATAGTTTGTGGATCAGTTCGGGGTATGCATGGAAGATCTGGTAGAAGAGTGTGCGCAGAAGGCCTTCCTGAGACTTCTGAAGTTTAGATCCAGACTGCCAAAAGAAGAAGGAGCAGATCACGACTTTCCTTTTCCGTGCCTACCGATGGAGTAGCATCTTGAGGTTGGCTTGACGAATGATGTGCTTCATCAGGGTGGATTTGCCTGAGCCCGCTTTCCCAGCCAGCCAGAACACCCCGCCCTCAGAACCTAGCCACGTGTTTACCACAGGGATTTCGTTTGGAGTCTCCTCTTGCTCGCCGCGGTCGGTCTCCACCACCCAGTTGTAGGTGTTCTCGTATGCGTCATGGATGTTGGACTCGCGGGTCCTCATGTCTCCAAACCTTAGGCTTATCAGAACTCTGTACTGAGCACGAATAATTCTTGCGCGCTTCGCACTAGCCAAAAGTGTATAAGACCATTTGCCCATATTCTGAGGCATGACCAGTGGTTCTTCCTCATGAATGTGTTCAGGCTCTTCACCGTCGCTTTCGCGAGCCTCGTTATCGGGCCCTTCCCCAGGCTCTCCGTCAGGCATTGTGACTGAGAAGTCATTGAAATGACGACGAGCTTTCTTCCTCGACGGTTTTAGATCCTCCTCTTCGTCACAACTATTTATGATCTCTTGGAGATATTTGACCGAAGTTACGATGGCTTCTAAAGGATGGAGATCCAGTGGCTGACTGATGAAATTCAAGTTCTTCTGCTGCTTTATGAGGTTGTTGAGCAAGGAAAGGCTCTTAGAGCTGGAAGAACTGTTACAATCAGAAGACATCCCGCCGAAAATCCTGAAGACATACTTAAGAGAAATGAGTAGATGATTGTTTAAGGCATCTCGAAGTAGCCTCATTCGCTCAATTAGCGAATTGATAGCTGAATCTCGATACGCCGTGCGAAGTGTCTGGCGTACAGCTTCCCACTTACGGTGTTCTGATTTCGGCTTGAGGTCTTCGAGCACGGCGACGAGTTTGGCGGCAAGCTCATGATATAGTTTTACCAAGTTTCGCAGAGACCTTTCGTCCTTGGACTCGCCGAACACTCCCGCAAAGTCGTCTAGGAGCGCTTGCGAATCCTGCTTTAAGAGTTCGGCGGAAGCGAGCAGCTCCTTGTGCTGTTGCAGCAGCCCGGTGGAGGATCGATAAAGTTCGACTGCGCGACTAACGAGTTCGCCGCTGAACTGGACAAATTGAACGATATTTCCGGCAACGCCTAGCGCAGAGAGAGGATCCAGGATCATATCGAGTACACGGAAGTGTCTGTGAGGAGGCAAAGGACAGAACGAATTTGGAGGGCAGTAGTATTTGGAGTATAACTACTACGTATTTTGCATATAGAGGCTTAAATGGATAATTGAAGTTGCAAATGTGCCCGCATACAAATGGACCGCTATATTACTTTCGACGATATACATATTAGAGTACATATCGCAGCTACGACAGTCATTTAAACTTGAACAACATTTAAACCCCTATTGATAGAAAAAAGCTTAATTAAGCACGATTAAATACCTAGAGTATGAACTGTAGCGGTGCAACTATAAGTGGGGTTAAGCTAAGGTTAAGCCAGCCGTAATTTTGCTACGTTAGCACGCTAATACCAATAACCCAGTTGGTTGTATGGAGAGGTCATCTTCTGCGCGAACACAGCGCCACAGCTAGACATCTTGACCTCAGCAGCAAAGGATATGTTATTGGGATTTAAGTCTTGTCCTTAATTTATAATCACATCCTTATTTCTCTTTCTAAATAATTATAAGACTGTATAAAGATAATATTTTAATAAGCGCTTTTTAATATTTTTCAAAGTACTCAAAGAGATTACTCTTAAATTATTTTGTTATTTAAGCAAAGAAGCTGCAGCTAAATAATAATTATTATAAAAATTAAAACCTGCCCTTTATTTATAAGGTACCTTAAAGATTCTAACCTCACCACCACTGCAGTACACATAAAGTTACAAAAAAGAGCATTATTTAGAAATCTACATAATTATTGCTCATCCCAAACATCAGAACTCCCTAAATAGTCGTGCAAAGAGCAGTGTTGTAAGAAATAGTAAAATATAATCTTGGTCCCGGTGCAGTCTTTTTCCGGCTAGTCCTGCATCTGTACTGGATCCCGTTCCTGTATCGCGCCGCCGTCTATAAAGGTCCCTTTCCCCCTGCCGACCGTCTGTCCTGGCCTCTCGTCCTCGCCCTTGCCTTTCTATCTGTATCGCCCGGCTCGTGCGGCATAGACGGCGCTGATACGGCCCCCTCTATCATCCTTCAGCTTCAGCTCCTGTGCCCCCGGCCCTCAGTCTTCTTTGCTCGCGGTGCTTATCTAGTGCCGCCTACTGATATTAGCTGCCTATATTTGCGAATCGGCCAGTGTGAAGAGATATACCAGCTTACTACGTCTGATTTCTACGATCCGCGTTAGCGGGCTCTCATATAAAACAATGATAATCGCTACCAAAGGGGGAATTTGAAAGAGCTGGGAGGATTGTGGAGCGATTCTGCCAAATTTTATTTGTTGAGATCCTTGTGTAAATCTCATTAGTAGGCTTAGAATGCTCTATTAAAGGATGCGGAACTCCTGGAAAGGAAGCAGGATGACAGTAGACGCAGGAGGCTGGTATACCTGGCCCGAAAATGGGCCCCTACTAGCACACCTATCCAACGACTTTATAACGCAAAGCAGATTAACAAAAAGCTGGCGTCCGAAAATAGTTGGTTGTGATTATCGTTTTCTGACGAGCCCTCCTTTCCAGGACGCTGTTCGAAATTTCTCACGTACCATAGCACGTGAAATTAAAACGTTGATCAAGACGTGAGGATCCTGTATGTATCCAAGCGAAGGGGCTTATTAAATTGAAGGAAGATGAGGCAACTCTATTTAAACTGGAGTACAGGAGCTGGTGGTGGTAGAAGTACTCCTCATTCATGTTAGCGTCTCCTTGCTTCGAACGACTCTTTTCGTTCTACGGCTTGGAGCTCGTCTGCTGAGAGCCGCTTCAAGGCCTCCGTCGCTCAGCTCCCCGAATTCTTCAGCAAAGTGTCGCAGAACTTGTGTCCCTATGCTAGGGATTCCCGCATCGATAGGTATGAAGCGAGAGCCCGCATCGCACTTGAAACAATTTGGCAT